TCCCTTTTCAGCGCGGGAGTATATCAGACCATATCATTTTGCAACTTGGTAATCTGTTTGTCATTAAACATATGTCGTGCTCTATTCTGGTACATACTACCTCGCTCTTAATTGATGTGATATCATTCCCCCCTAGGTGTATAATTAAATATGCGGGAGGACTTTTGCTCGATAGAGTCAATGAGCTCCCCCCCCCCCCCCAATTTCATGCCCCTTTTGCCAATCCAGGTTACCTGAACGCCTAAATTTTACAAGCGTAAGTTAATAGTCAGATTTGTAGCCGCCTATCTACATGCCTAGTAAACAATTGAAGATCCCACAATCCATACAAGGTGCTCTAAGGAAGCAATAAATAATATGGTAAACACAACTCGTCCACAAAGCTTTTATCATATCTATTCTGATATACTTTAGGAATGCGCTTGATTTCCAGCGTCCCAATAATTGGATTTTGTCATGTGATACCGCTTTTAAGGCAGGACACGTTGCACCTCCAATTCTAAAAGAATGTGATTTGTAAGCAGAAATTGGGTGATTAATTTTCGAAAGGGTTTTTCTCAAGACTGCGTTAAACTAATATCTAGTTAGCGGGGATTTATTGCTATGCACGAATAATGAACTCTCAACACGTGGTCTCACTGCAAGAAATTTCTTCAAGTTATTAAATGGGCAAATGTTTCTTTGATGAATAGATGGTAATAAAATATTGATACCTTTTCCTGTTTGATCAGTTTTAGAGAATCGTACAGAAATAGAGGCGCAAGTAACGCTCATTGACGTACAAAATTTTATATCCTTAATAGTTAAGGGTACATGGGCACAATTCTCCCAGGTATAAGCTAATTCCCCTACCCTAAATAGGCCGTAAATGGCGAAGGTAAAAACTGATCTAAACAAGAATGTTTCATATTCCAAATAACACACTTGATTTAGAACGCCACAGAATTTAGCGAGAAGCTCCTCCGAAATAGGTGCTCTTTTGTCTTTTGTTCTATTTAATCTTCGCAACCCTTCTAAAGATTTCCTAACTATGAATAAATCTGCCGGATCGGTCCATTGTCTCAGTTTATGTACAAAGCTAATACCCGAAATATAGGATGAAACTGTTGAAGCTGCTGAGCCCTTGCCTGAATAATATGCTATATATAACAGAATATGGTTTGAAGGGACTGGTCATTTATCAGCTAGTTTTGTCAATATTCTGAAATCTTTAAAATTCTTTAAGGCTTGTAAGTATACAGCCCTGGTGTTTGCTGAAATGCTTGCATCTAACAATCGAGTGATTTCGTCTTGAAAATAACCCGAAGTGCCCCTGAAAATGGTGTGGGCTGACTGTCTGCGTCCGGAGACAACTTGTGAAATCGCTGAAATTGTAAACGTAACAAACTGTCCGTCAAGTTCTGAACGCCCAAGACGTGCTGCCCTTTAAATGAAATGTTCAACTGCAAGCGTTTTTAAAACGATTTTGCGCAACATGATCATTACTAATTCTGATTTTGATGTCATCGAATTTACAATATGTACCACTGATTGATTATCGGATCTAACAAAACTTTTTTGTTGCGCAGCTTTTCTCCCATAAAAAATACTGAAACAAGCAAGGGGAAAAAATCCAACACAGTGATATCCTTAGTATAGCCCCTATTGAACCAACACTCTGGCCATACACCGTAGGTCCATGCACCGCTAAAATAAATTCCCAAACCATTTCATCGACGCGCCGAGCTATCTGTAAAAAAAAATTTCTAAATCTATGTTAGTTACTCAAAACATTTCTTGGAATACCACAAAGCCGTTAAATTTGTCAAAAAATTCCAGCCATACAAGTAAAACCGCTTTTATCTCTTTTGTTACTCTTAAATGATGATAGGGTTGAGAGAAACCATGCGTTGCATTCGACAGCCGCCTGCAGAAAGTGCGACCTGGAGGAATTGCTCTGCAGGCAAAATTTAGATATCCTATAAGAGATTGCATGGTTTTCAAGTTGGTTTTCGATTTCTTCAATATGCCTTCAATAATCGTAAAATCGTTGACGGAGTTATTGGTAGGGTATGAGAGGTGATGAATTACCCTGAATTCCCCCTCCGCTTTCTTGGGCACTACTCCCAGTGGCGAAACAAATTTGACATAGGTTGTGATTTAAATGGGCCAGCCATCCTTCCTTTATCAATTTCTTTTTTGATATTGACTCTAGCGACATCTGCATGTTTATAAAAAAGAGGTCAAATTAGGGGCTTCTGTTTTTTCTCGAGGACCCCAGTAATACAATCGAAAACCAAATTGAACACCATTTATAAGTTCTTTTGCTACCTCCAAATTCGAATAATTTGTAAGAGAATTTTTTAAAGCTGCAGTGTTTATAGAGGAATTTGTTAATTTAAACTTTTTGACCTTTATTGGTTGCAGCGGTGCTGTTTGAGGCTTTTGAGGTACGAAAAGTATCATTTTTTGCATAACTTGATTTTGGGTGCTTTTCTTTACAAAGAGAACCTAAATGCGCATACTTGCAATTGGCTGTAATGCTAGGGCCCTTGCTGTAATGCAACAGCCTCTATTGTAACTGAAGCAGACACCAGTTTGGTTTGGTGCATGCGGTGCAGCGAGGCTAAGTTCCGTCCTGAGTGGGACAGCGATCAAGCGTAGCCATAAATTTAATTTTGACCAATTTCGGTAAGAGATTGCTTGACGAACTCTAAACTGCTCGTCGTAATTTCTCCATCCCATGCCCGGAAATTTCCTCGCTGCATCGCGATTGACAAACATATATTAAACCAATTCAGCTGCCCTCACTGGGTGCCTTTAAAGCATAAATAACAGAAAAACATCAGTCCATCTATCGATGGTTGTTATCTTGATTAAAAACTTTGGGCTTAGCCTCGAGTTCCCCCTATCATTTTAGACAAAATTACTACCCGCAGTGAACTGCTGCAGTTCAGCGCTTCCCTTTGTAAGCAGGGCTAAGTTTATATAGTTCCCAGCGGTTGGAACATGATTGGAACATGGGCACCTATAATTATCGTCCCCAGTGCAAACCTCCATGTTTGGCATCGCCCCAAAATTAACTGCCGGTGACAGGGCAGCTTCCGAAGTAGAAAAAACTAATTGCCTACACTTATAGTTAGTAGTGAGCGGCACATGCTCCTCCGCCATTCCCGTGGAGGCATGAATATCCTCCCAGGTCTGGGTACTTGTACCAATCGCAACCCGCTCGATCTCAGGGTCTGCCCTGGTGTAAGCGTGGTGGACAGCGGTTGGACTTAGCACTGGCTTGGGACTTTCTGGCTCTAATGGATGGCATGATTTTCGATTTTTGCTGAACCGTTCTCGGAGGCTTAAGTACTTCAAAACAATTATCAAAAGTGCAGAAACGCTGGGAAAGCTATCGAGCGAGAGGAGAAAAACGCCACGTGCGCCCCTCTTTTATACTCGCGGCAATCGGGGAAAGTGTCAAAAGACCTACCCCCTGTGTTTTTCGGAAATCAATTAAATGCGTTTAAATAGCGATTGCTTTAAACGACCTTAAACAATACAAATCAGGAGTGGAGACAAAAAAGAATTGTGGTCCTCCGTTTTCGGTGTATTTGCGGATGAGATGTCATTTTCTGAAATAACATATTGTGTTAATTACATTGTATGAACACCCTTTCGCATGTCATAAAGAAATTATCACCAAAGTTTAATTCAAAATAATGTCAATCGTCAAGGACAAGGGGTCAAAAATCATAGCATGCTCGATAATACATGTAACTTTCACAGGTAATGCACATGTCAAATTTAAAAGCCCTATCTGTTTGTGAATCAATGATGACCCCGTATGGCAACATGGCAAACTTTTCTTAAATGCAAATTAAATAATAATATTGGTACACAAAGTAGGGTGTTCTCACATGAAATACGACTGTGGAAGATGAGAGCACTGGCACCACCTACTCAAAAGTTATTGCCAGGGATAATTTTGTGAAAGGTAGGTCTAACTCCACGGTCAAAGGGTCTAAGTTGTAGGTTTCATAGGAAAGGTCTTGTTACAAATATTACAAATGTAAAGTGTGAAAGCCCTAGCCCTTACCTTTCAAAAGTTTCATGACCAAGATAAAAGTTTTTTTCATAAGTACAGAAATATCGAAGGTCAAAGTCAAAAGGTCGAAGTTGTTGGCATTAAATGAGAGATCTAATTGCCGCAAAGAATATACATGTATAAGTGAAACATAAAAGTCCTAACATCTATCATTCAAAAGTAATGGTCAAAGTAAAAATTTGGAATTTTTGTGTAAAAGTGGGTAAAACTCCAAGGTCAAGGTCAAAAGGTCAGACTTGGTGGTCACCCAAATAAAGGTATGGTCACATATAATACACATTTGAAAAAATATGAAAACCATATCTCCACTAAATCAAAAGTTATGGGCAAGGTTAAAGTTTTTGTGATGGACGGACAGACCGAGAGACGGACATCCGAATGAGATTAAATGTGCCCTCGCTTTCATGAAAGCGGGAACAAAAATATAATGGATCAAGTGCCATGGAATAAGTTAATCTATTGGATAGGTGTTTATGATTTTTAAGTGCATTTTAACTTTGAAAATTTAAAACATGCTTTGATTGATAATTGGTCCAAAAATCCGTTTAACAATTGTGTTTTAATTGGGTGATCAAAAGCGCACACAGGTGTATCAGAAATAGTTACAATAATTAAAATTCATTCTTCAGTAAAATTAAGGATAGAATGAAGTTTAAGAATTTTTTTATCTACTTTGAATTTGAAAATGATTAATTCACAGGTCGGTTCATGTACTAGCTTCAAGAGTTAATATTTCATAAAGTATTATTAGTATGATTATCGCATAATATCTAGTATTGTGAAATGAAAAACGTGCGGATCAGATGTCAAGTAAGTGGATTTGAACATCAAAGCGGAAGTTAAACAGGTTAATATATACTTCCTTGATTTTGAATTTTCTCTTGTATATGATTAAATTCCTGTATTTGCATGATATTAAATCAATTGAACTTTCGACATCTATCAGTGCTTTGCTATTTCTATGGCGTATACAAAACTACACTTTATCATAACGCTTTTTTCATGTTCGAGTGCAATGTACTGCATAGAAAAGTAAGTCGAACTTTGAGTTATTTGATAGGGTGCTTTTGTCGTTAGAAATCGGACCTTTCGTAGGTATATAAATAGCATCAGCATCAGCAAATAATGTGCACGGGGAAAAATGTAATTTTATAAAACGTAGAAATTGTTTTCTGAACTGTCTCAACCCTTTTGCAGAAATGAATTGATCACTAATTTCAAAATTTAAAAAGGTTAATTGTAATATCAAATCGCTATTGTATGTATATATTAAAACAATATTTTTCTATGTAGATATTTGTCATCTGTATTAGTGTATATTTATAGAAGGCTATGATAAAGTCCTGAAAACTTAATTATAAAATTGCAATTGAGTCCTCAATATATTATTTTTTATTTTTTGTTAAATAAATTGCATTATTTCTGAAATCTTTACATTATATAGAATTAGCTTTAAGGGGAAAGCAGGTGTTTTACCTTTCTCTGAGTTACCTTCACTGTACTATTAATTAATGTAATTCTAAAAGGTAGAGCATGTTTTTGAAAGTTCCAGAAAAGATTCCATAGTTTTAAAAGAATCTCTATGGATACTCTAAATTGCCTATAAGAAGTATTTCCTAATATTGAATGCTTTTGACAAGTATAAAGGAGGAGTTTCATCTCTTATTTTTTTTATATTATTTTTAATATTTTTATTTGTTTCGTTGATTGTACATTTATGAATAAAACAAATATCCGTTTTGGGACTGTAGAGAGCTGGGTTACAAATGTTGTGCAAATTACTACTGGGATTTGGCAGAAGGAAACTGTACTGGTGAGTAATCAACAAGGGATGTTCAGAATCCAAATATCTAAAAAAAAAAAAAAGTTGACTAATTCGAAAGGAACATTTACATTATGCTGAATAAAATAATGATATTTGGTTTCTTTTTTTGTGGTTTTTGTAGGAAAGATGCGTGCACTTTTGAACTCTTAAGTGCATGCAATATAACTATTTATTATCTTCCCCTTTCGCAAGGATATTAAAACTAATTCGTATGAAAGACAGTCTAGCTGTCCGTTTGTTAGTCCCTGCGTCCTTCACAAAAACTTTAACCTTGAATGAGAAAAGATAGGGCTTTCATATTTCATATGTACATTACCTTTGTCATGATATTTCCAAATATACTATGATACTTTGTTTTTTGTCACTGCGACTTTGACCTATTTTGAATGTTTTTTTTTGCTTCGACAAGTTAAATTGGCCTAAAAATTTTTGAAAGAAAAGATAGGGCTTTTACATCATACATCTATTATACCTCTGGTAAGGCCTTTACTGTAGTTTTTTTTTACACTTAACTCGGAGTTTGACCTACTTTTCAAAAATATTTTCTTTCCTTGTAATCTTTGATTGAAAAGCTTTTTTATTTTACATGTGCACAACTTGTCAAAGGATGTTTCCGAGCATGCTATGATTTTTTTTTACCTCTTCACCTATATATGCGCTCATATTTAACACAATATGCCATAAATAATGGTATTCCATCCATTTTTTTTAAATAGGACACTGAAGTGCGGAGAACCAGTTTACATATATTTTTTTGATAATTTACGAAAAAGTAATTAGCATTCACTTATTATAGTTTTCTATTATTTCACACACTGTATGTAGCTTCTTTCAAAACGTTTAAGTGTCAATTTAATTCAAAATTGAATTACAATGATATAGCATCATATCAGTATGGTATTTATTGATGCATATTTATATGTATGAATCAGAGATATTTCAAACATTATTTTAAAATGTTATCAAGCGATAGCTATATTCAATACTGACATCAATGTAATTAAATCGCCTTTTATCATAGAATGTATGCCAGGATTCTTTGGCCTTAACTGTTCCTCTGAATGTACAGATGGCTTTTATGGACTGTGGTGCTTGAGCAAATGCCCTGAATACTGCAAATCCTGTAATAAAGTCAATGGAACTTGCGATGGTATTAAAAAATAAAAAAAAAAAACAATCCTAATTTTTAGCAGACACAAGAATGACCTTTCGTAGACAAGAACAAAGGATTGGAACTTTAAAACTAATTTTTTCCTTTAAATGATAAAGGCTTCATCAGTGTAATTCATTCTGTAATGTTAAGTATGACTTTATTTTCTTTCACGGAGTTAGAATAATTAGCAAAATTTTGATTTGAAGGATTAAAAATAATTTTTCCTGCCTGATCTAGACCAAAATAAATATAATTTACTTTCAGAAGTAAATACCATAAACTTGGAAGATCTAACCAGGATTTCTTCAAACAGAAGAATGGTAACACTACCAACAGTATCAAAGCAGTCGAAAAGGAACACCAAGACTTTTTCAATCAATGGAATGTTGACATCACCAGCAACATTTAAGCAGTCGCAAAGGGGGTCATTGCTATTTGTTATCATTTCTATTGGATCAACTATAGTTCTTGTATTACTTGTGGTTCTGATAAGAAATATCTACACAATAAGCACACTTCAACCTAAACAGACAATTCTACTTCAGATTCAGGATCCAGAGTCTGAGGCAGCACAGAACACAGTAAACCCGGCTTTTGATCCTATCTATGAAAACTAACTGATACCTAATACTAATATTGCATAAATGCATTCAATTCATCAATTGTGATTTTTATCAATATTTATAATTGTGTGATGTGGAAGCTTTTTTCTCGAAAAATATTTAGGATATGCTTTTGATTCTCATCCTGAGAAATGTCATCAAAAAGGTAATATAATGGAATTTTATGGTTAATTTATAATGTAAGAATATCTGTCCAGTTATTTATTAATAGTTTTCACCAAAAATTGTTTTCTTACATATGAATCATTGATGCTATTTTAAAGCATTTTATTGATTTAATTAGTGTATTGATAAATGATTACAGGCTTTGATATATCACAAAAAAATTTTGTAATCAGAAAAGAGAGATCAAATGAAACTTTTAATACGTCTAAAAAATCTTGTTAACAACATTTTATAATATGGCATCGGACACGACTGGACCTGCTCTGCCTGTTTTCGCGTTAAAATCTTCAAATAATGTTTTCATTATGAAACAACAAAACATTGATGTAACCATCAGTTGTCGCAATGGAAAAAAAACGAAACAAACAATGGACGATTGATCATTCAGCCGCTTCAATATAAAAAAAATGTGAAAAAGATATTTTAAAGCATTTTATTGATTTAATTAGTGTACTGATAAATAATTACATGCTTTTATATATCACAAAAAAAAAATTGTAATCAGAAAAGAGAGATCAAATGAAACTTTTAATACGTCTAAAAAATCTTGTTAACAACATTTTATAATATGGCATCGGACACGACTGGACCTGCTCTGCCTGTTTTCGCGTTAAAATCTTCAAATAATGTTTTCATTATTAAACAACAAAACATTGATGTAACCATCAGTTGTCGCAATGGAAAAAACGAAACACACAATGGAGCATTGATCATTCAGCCGCTTCAATATAAAAAAAATGTGAAAAAGATATGCGTCTGAATGAATGACATGAAAGGGAATTTTGAAAACATAGTCGGAGAAAAAATATCCTTTTAAACTACCGGTATATTAATCCCTAAATTTAATTCGATACGCAGGAACATGCTCTACTCATGATAATTTTGTTTTGAAACAAGGTAAATTATTGACAAACTAGATGATGAGACAAGAATTTCAGCAGTCTCGTTTTAAGTCATTATTTCATAAGTTCTATGGTCAGTACAATGATCTTGTCAGCAAATAAAATTTATCATAGATTCAAATGCAGACTGACGTTTTTCATACTTATTGATAATGTATTGTTCGTCCAATGAATTACAGACCCTGAGACGTACTACTACCCCAAAAAAGCGTGTGATTTTCGTGCGCTTTCCGTTTCGTGCAAACCGTGTAGCGTTTCGTGTAAACCGTGCAGCGTTTCGTGCAAACCGTGTAGCGTTTCGTGTAAACCGTGCAGCGTTTCGTGTAAGCTCCAAAGCGTTTCGTGCAAACCGTGTAGCGAGCGTGCGAGAAACGTGCGACTTTCGTGTAAGAACCGTGTGAGAAACGTGTTACTTTCGTGCAAGAATCGTGTAAGATTCATTCGGAAGTCATTTCATTTTAAATATGGCTATCGATGGGTCAGGATGTCAAATTGTATTAATATTTTATTATTGAATTAGTCATGCTTGTGATATTTGATGAGTACAAACAGGAAAAAAAAATGGAACAAAAAATGAAATTACACTGTACAGGGTAATGTATAATATATATTTGTTTAATGTCTTTTCCTTCTATAGAACAGTGTGTTCAAATTAATCAACTATGTACAACAATTTTAAGGGCATTGATTTCAATATACTATCAACGCGATCATGGCTTCTTAAATATTTTTTTTCTCAAAGAAAGAAAGAAATACCGTTATTATTTATTTTTAATTTAAAGGAAAAATATATCAGGACTCAGCTCTTGTCTTTACATTTAAAATAAGTGAAAGAATGTTTTGAAACGATGTGTCATTTAATACTTTTTAATACATAAAACTTGTCACTCATTTTTGTCAAATAAATGGATTTTAAAATTTTAATTCACATGCACTGACGGCCACAGGTTTAGAAACAGGAGGGGGGGGGTAAATTAAATTACTAGTACAGTCTTTCATATTTTGATGTAACTTTCAATCTAATGGTAGTTTAAATTAACGCCTAATTTTCTATTCTTTTTTTAATCCTTTGTTAAATATGTGCGTAGATACACCCCTTAAAAATGTATTGGAATCTTCTTTCCGCCTTTCAACTGTAATCAAGGTCATTTAAAACAGCGATCACGGGCTCCGAGTGCATGGCAACTGAAAACCTGTTTTGCTATATGTACATGTTGAGTTCACGGCCTAATGACACCTGAAATTACGACTGGATTTTATTTATTTATTTATTTATTTATTTTTGACAAAATGGTTCTATCAATATTTAATGGGTACAACTTATAAATCAGCGAATTTCATCTTTTATTTGTAAATCCGAATTTCTAGCCGTAAACAGTAAAATATACAGAACTGATTTGGTAGTCTTTTCATGAATATCGTATAAGAAAACCTTAGGAGTAAATCATGAATAATTGTATATTATTTGTTTTATGAATCACGTACTTTTTATTTCATCTAAGATATTTCAGTTTTCTTGTAATATACCTGAATGCCGGTGTAAATATGGATCTACATTGTATGTACAATGTATAGTCAAATGCCGCGACTATTAATAAATGTACACATATATACATACGTTTAGTCTATTTTGAAATGAAGGATTTTACACTATGATGGGTATACTGATGTTATTTGATATGCTTCATGTAAAACAAGAAAGAGAATAAAAATAGATTAATAGATCACATTTAACCCCCGTCTTACAGGTATCCTTCCTATTGATAATGCTTACGTAAGATAAAAAAAATTCTTTAAAAAAAGTATCAATAATCTTTAGTAGAGTATATAGGCAAATTTTATTACTATATCAAAATCAAGAAAAATAATCCGCCTACGGAAATCAAACACAATACAATCAATATTATTTAAAATCAATGAGTTCATATTCCTGCTGTAAGAAATCGATTTTGTGTATAATTTCTTAAATTATGCTTATAAAAATATTACATTGAAATGAATGACTAATACCGGTATATAAAAATGTATTTTATTAAACAGTCATTCAAGAAATCGGCATTTCGGTTTTTAACAGTAAACTGTTGGATAAATTAACAAATAAATAAGAAATGACAATTATCTATTAATTAATTACAACTGTCAGAGTATTGAATATTTCTATCGGTTTATATAATACTAGAGTACTGATATTTAATTTAAACAGCTGCTAAATGTGGCTTTATGAAAGCTTTATGAAAGATTTGCATTTAATTAGTTATAAAACCGTAATAATGCCCGAGATATTCCGAGTAGAAAAATCCAAACCGAGGCCAAAACGTGCGAGAATCGTTTACAAAGCGTGTGGGAAACGTGTACAAAGCGTTTCGTGCAGCCTTTCGTGTAAACCGTGCAGCCTTTCCTGCAAAGCGTTTCGTGTAAACCGTGTAGCGTTTCGTGCAAACAGTGTAGCGTTTCGTGCAAACCGTGCAGCGTTTCGTGCAAACCGTGTAGCGTTCGTGTACCGTTCGTGCAGCGAGCGTGTGGGGTAGTAGCACGTCTCAGGGTCTGTAACAATGGATATTTCCGTTTTTTCCCGATAATGTCAAGGCACACAAGGCGGATGTTACCTGTCGGCAGGGGATGCTTACTTCTACATGACACATGTTTCCACCTCTGATGTTTTGGAGGTCCTTGTTTTCATTGTCCTATATTGTATTTTTATTGACTGTTGATCTTCAATACTGTTCGTTATCTCGTTTATGTTTCACTCAAATAAATAATGACTGCAAAAAATATAAATTAAAATCAGACACATGCATCGCCTTTTTCAAACATATATTTGAATTGAAGAACTTATACGTTTTTATGCGATAAGTAAAATTCGGTGTTAAAAAAATGGATATGTCGTCTTTCTCAATAGTAGATAACAAACACTTTTTAATTTTAAATATAAAATACGTGTTAACACGTATATACATTTTTTTTTCAAAATTTCACTTTATAGTACATATACAGTTATAGTATATAATTGAGGGAGTTGGCAAAATTCCGGTTCCACAAGGCAAGCACTATTTTCTGAGGCGCATTCGAAGGAAATAGTCCTGTACAAAAGGAGCTGAAATCTTGCTAACTCCCCCAATGATTTACTTTTAACTGTTTTATTATACCGATACAAAAGTAGAAAAAAATAGAGGATTGCGAATGACGGGGAATTAGCTTCCGGTGTAAAGACGAAAAATGACCCCCGTAGAATATTGACTGGGGGTCATTTTTCTTCGCAGAAATTTGACCCCCTGATCTCTACTCTACATAGAAAAATTTTTGTAGATATTACAGCCATGGGGTCGTTTTTCTCCGTGTGCATTGTAGAAAAATAAAATGACTCTGTAGAATAATGACCCCTTTTCATTTTTTTGATACAAAACATTCCTGTTGGTAGGAATATTCTTGTTAGGCGAATGCATAGGGGTAATATCAAACGACACTATGATCTAAGGTGCCAATTTCTGAATTTTTTAACCTTAAATAACAAAATTAAACTTATGCTACACCTTACATTTATAATACACCCCGTTTTATCTTCATTAAAGGAAAACAATGTAATACTATAAGAGTCAAGATATGCACATTCATAGATTTTTTATCACATTTTATACAGTAAGTTTCCTCAGTTGTCATTTTTTGAAATCTTAAAAAAAAAAGGTCATTTCTAGCTGGTGTCGGAAAAAGGAACTCTAAAATTATAGTTTCCATAATTATAAATCTACTTGATTTAACCCTGGATTAATAATTTGCAAAAAATTGAAATAAAGTTTTATTTTCAAAAGGTAAACGTTTTTGAATTTTGATCCGTACTTTTAAAATACGCGCAGAAAAGGGGCTTGCTCCTAAACTTTGTTCTTATAAAAATAATTGGTTTTCTATGAATGATGTTTTACATTTCTCATA